ATACATGGGTATATATTATATATGTAAGTACATATGTTTCTAAATACAAACACACATTAATGCAAGGGTAAAAGTTAGAGCTACAGACCTGTGGCATGCCCCATAATAAACTATTACCTGTGTTAAGGACATGGTTTCTGAAGCCAGCCCACCTGGTTTCAATTGGTAGTTCTCCACTTAGTAGCTATGGTACTAGCAAATTACTTGATCTTTTTTGTGCCTGAATTTCCTCCCTGTTAGGCAGAAATAATAGTGCCTATCTCACAAGCTTCTTGTGAGGATTAAATGTGTTAGAAGAGGGCCTGGAGGGCGCCTGGGTGGCTCAGTTGGTTGGGCGACTGCCTTCGGCTCAGGTCATGATCCCGGAGTCCTGGGATCGAGTCCCACGTCGGGCTCCCTGCTCAGCAAAGGAGCCTGCTTCTCCCTCTGACCTTCCCCCCTCTCATGTACTCTCTCTCTCTCTCTCATTCTCGCTCTCTCAAATAAATAAATAAATCTTTAAAAAAAAAAAAAAAGAAGAGGGCCTGGAACAAAGTAAGTGTTATACAAGTTTTTACTATTAGGTTTAAGTAATGAAACAACTGCAAAGTAATTTGAACAATGTATTATTGGATACCTTAGGGCAGCCCTTCTCAACCTTGTCACTATTGACATTTTGGACCAGAAAAATTTTTTTTTTTTTTATTTGAGAGAGAGAGAGACAGCAAGAGAGGGAACACAAGCAGGGGGAGGGGGAGAGGGAGAAGCAGGCTTCCCGCTGAGCAGGGAGCCTGATGCGGGGCTCGATCCCGGGATCCTGGGATCATGACCTGAGCCGAAGGCAGTCGCTTAACCAACTGAGCCACCCAGGAGCCCCTGGACCAGAAAATTCTTTACTGTGGGCACTGTCCTATGCATAGTAGGAGGTTTAGCAGCATCTCTGGCCATACCCACTAGATACCATAGGATCCCCATGTCCAATTGAGACAAAGCAACCCTAGGAGACAAAAATCACCCTCAGTTGAGAACCACTGCTTTAGTGGGAAAGACATGGGCAGAGGAGAGTGTGCTGGTTTTTCCCTTTATACAATCTTTTAAAAGTTACACTTGTGAAAGCATGTACTACGCTTGCAATTTTAAAACCATCAAATCAAGATTTCAAAAAAAGGAAAATAATCACTAAAAAATGACTATAATCAATGGCTTTAAACCAGCAGAATAAAAGGGAATATAGAAAATAATCAAAAGACGTGAGGAGAGAGGAAATAAAGGAAAAGGTTGATGAGCAAAAAGCATAAGGTGGAGGAAATACGTTCAAATGTATCAGTGATCACAATATAAATGGATTCAACTCACCTATAAAAGAGATACTATCAAACGGGATTAAAGAAAACAAAGTCCAGCTATATGCTGCTTACAAAAGACACCCTAAAACAAAACAGAGAAATTAAATATAAAGGGATTTCAAAAAGCAAGTTAAGCAGTCACTAAAAGAAAGCTAGTGAAACAGTATTAGCATTCAAAATAGGATTTAAGGCAATTCATAAAGACAAGAAATTCTGTGTACCTGATAATGTTTAGAAAAACCATTAGAATTACAAAAAAGAAATCTGACAAAACCAGTTATAGTGGGAGATTTTAACACCCTCAGTCTCAAACTGATAGATCAAGCAGACCAAAAATTAGTATGCACACACACAGACATGCATATGGATACATATAAATGGAGAGGTGATGGCAGGAGAAAGACTGCAAATGACAAAGCAAAAAGTGCAAAATGTAAATAATTGGTACGTCTGGATAAAGAGTATGGAAAAATTTTTTTAAAACTACCAAGTTACCAAATAAAAAAAACCCACACCCAAACAAGTACGTTGAAAATAAATTCACTGCAAGAAAATGGAAAAAGATCAGAAAATCTAAACAAAGCAGGTAAGAGGAAATATAAAAGCAGAATTTAGTGACACATAAAGCTAAAGAAAAAAAAAGGCAAAAACAAAACAGTAGAGGTCAATAAAACCAAAATATGGTTCTCTAAAACAACTAAAATATAAATTAAAACACATACACAAACCTCTAGCAAGATTGTTCAAGGAGTAAACAAAATACAAATGAAAAATATTAACAATGAAATGGAATGACTACTAAAGACAATAGAGATTTTGGAACATAAGAATAACTTGAACAACTTTAACAATAAACTGGAAAATCTACATCAAATGGTAAATTTTAAGACAAATATTTACTAAAATTTGGGGTGCCTGGGTGGCTCAGTTGGTTAAGTGTCCAACTCTTGACTTCACCTCAGGTCATGATCTCAAGGTTGTGAGATCCGAGCCCCATGTCTGGCTCTGCGCTCAGTAAGGAGTCTGCTTGAGATTCTCTCTCTCCCTCAGCCTCTCCCCCTGCTCGGGTGCTCCAATTCTCTCTTTAATAAATAAAATCCTTAAAAAAAATTTACCAAAATTTAAGAAAGGACTATCCAAATAAACCAAGAACTTTTAACACATTGAAATAGTATTCAAAATATTCCCCTCAAAATAAGGCAACAGATTCAAAGGTTGTAACACCCTTTAAAACAACACTTCAGGAACAAATAATCCCCACTCACTACAAAAACTTCAAAGAATAAAAAAAGTAAGCTACTCAATTTTAGGTGTATAATATTGGTGCTAATATCAAACACTAAATAATACATTAGCTAATCACTTAGCAGTGCATTTTAAAAGAATTACATACCAGCGTCAAGGAGTATATTCTGGAATATGTGGGTGATTCAACAAAAAAATTGATTAATGTAATTTAAAACATTTGTAAGGAAAGAAAAGACACCTGTTATCCTACTGGATGTAGGGAAAAAAACTTAACAGTAAGAATTCATAGCTATTCATGATATAGATTCCTAGCAAACTAGGAATAGAAAGAAGTACTGCTAACCTGAAAAAGCTACTACCAAAGATTTACAGCAAATATAGTATTTAATGATGAAACTTTAAAGTCATTTGCATTAAAGTCAGAAAAATGATGAAGATGCTTACCATCACCCACATTATTCAAGACTGTTCTGGAGATCTTAGCCAATGCATTAAGATAAATAAGGAGAAAAGAAAATTGGGGAGAAAAAAACCCACAAAACTGTCATTCACAGAAGATATGGCTGCACAGAGAACATCCCAGAAAATCTACAAACTATGGGAACTATTAGATTACTTGCTAGATAGAAGGACAACATACAACAATGAGAACTAACCAGTTAGGAAAATATAATTTTTTTTTAAAAGCTATCACTTACAATGGCAAAAAAAATGACCAGGAGCCTAAGATATATATGTATAAGCATTATAAAATGTTAAAGACCTAAAAAAAAAAAGAGCTAAAGAAAAATTGGAAATCATAAATGTGGATGGGAAGATTCAAAACTCTAAAGATGTCAACTACCTCTAATCTAAAATTTAACAATTTCTATCAAAATTGCAATTTCAAAGAACAGGACAAAGTGATCCTAAAATTTTTACAAATGAATAAATTGCCAAGAATAGATGTGGTTGAAAGCAAAGAATAAGGTGGAATGACTTATCCTACTTATTATAAAGCTATGATAATTAAGACAGTTTGCTATTAATGCAAAGATAGACAAACAGACCAAAGGAACTGAATTGAGATCCATAAATTAGTCCTACATGTATAGAACAATCTGGTGTATGACAAAGGTTTCATTATAAGGATGAACTCTTCAATATCTTATGTTACGACAATAGGAAATCCCTGGGGGAGGGGGGGGCTAATCTCTACTTCACTTACAACTAAATTCCAAATGAAACAAAGTTGATAATTTTTTTTTTAACTTTTAAAGGAAAGTATAAGAAAATAACTTATTTCAAAAAGTACAAATCTTAAGGAAATTAAATGAGTACATTAGAATTCTAAAGTCTGAACCACTAAAGAGATCAAAAACAAAGTGAAGACAAGCCAGACTAAGAAGATATGTGAAATCCATTTACTCAAGAAAGCATTAGAATTCAGAATATATAAAAAGTTCTATAACTTTTTTTAAAGTGCAAAAAAAAAAGGAAAACAAAACCCAAAACACCCAACAGAAAAAATGTGCAAAGCACATGAATAGTTCACAGACATAAAATGGCTAAAAAAATCAATGCAAAGTAGCTGAACCTTATCAGTCACAAAGGAAATTCAACTTTAAACTTCAGTAAGTTTAGAAACAAAACACACTGAAACTCTCAGACACTACAGGAAGGAGATAAATCAGTACAACCACTGACAATAAAGTTGATAATATCTAGTAAAGCTGAAGATGAGCAAACCCCAGGACCCAGCTTTTCTATTTCTAGATATATTCCCTAAAGTAGCATTTTTCAATCTGATTGATGGTCTCAATCTTTTAAGGGTTATAAAATCAACAATCTTTAAAATAAAACAGAACAAAAAACATCAGAGTATGTAACACATAAGGCTAGTATATAACAAAACTAGGTATTACTTACTAAAACTGTGTTAAGGTATGTATATATATGTATGCATGAATGTACATACATACTGGGAGATTATATATAATATAATTGATATTATGGAGTCTTAAAAGGACCACCCTAGAAAAATGTTCCCATACATACACAAGGATTTTCACTATTAGAACAGTTTATAATAGCAAAAAAATTGGAAAAAATCTGAATCTTGTTCATTAGGAAAATGGATAAAACTGTGGTATATTCATACTATGGAATAATGTGCACCTACCAAAATGAATGAACTAGACTAAATGTATCAGCATGTATAAGTGTTAAGAACATGATGCCAATTGAAAAGAAGTTGAAAAAGAATACATACGGTTCACTGACACCTCTGTAAAGTGAAAAAAAAAAAAACCTTAAAACTATATACCATAGAATACTAGTGACAATACATGTCATGTTCAGATTAGTTGTTACTTGATGGGTGGGAAGAGTAAAAAGGGAGCTTCAACCATATTTGGAACATTTCTGTTTTTCAAAAATCTTTGAAACCAACCTGTGGCAATGACTTATCTCCATCAGCATGCATTTTTAATTTCATCAATGCTACCTTTGCAGCTGTTTCACTATTTTTTGCACCTTTACGTCGTTTACTTGCTGTCTCTCTGGTCTTAGAATCTAAGAAATAAGTATAAGCATATAATCACATAGAATTTTTACATTACATTTTCCAGAGTTCTATTAATTACTATTTATTAGTTATGGCCTTGAAATGTACACAAATTACACACCATGGAGCTATATAGAGACCACATTCATTTTTGCTGGTATTATATTTACATGACCATTATAAAAATACCACTGAGGTTGATCTAAGCCATCTCCGTATCAAAAACTCACTGTTAGGTGCTTCTTTCTAATTTAAGCCTATTTAATCCAAAACAATCACTAACACTTCTGCAGAACACTTTAAGAGTTGGTTACAGAAAATTTTAAATAAAGGTACTATCCTTAATACAGAATGAAAATTCTGAACATATTGGCAAAGAGACTGGTCTAAGTCACAGATATATTCTTCCTGGCACCTCAGATTATCAGCAGCATTCGCAGGACAGCTGATGAGACTTAAGATTAGTATTTAGGGGTGCCTCGGTGGCTCAGTTGGTTAAGCGACTGCCTTCGGCTCAGGTCATGATCCTGGAGTCCCGGGATCAAGTCCCGCATCGGGCTCCCTGCTCAGCAGGGAGTCTGCTTCTCCCTCTGGCCCTCCCCCCCCTCGTGTGCTCTCTCTCTCATTCTCTCTCTCAAATAAATAAAATCTTAAAAAAACAAAACAAAACATTAGTATTTAAAGAAAGCAAACCACTACATTGGCTTTATGAATACCATGTCTAGCCATGATAGTTAACCAGGTGATCTGGCCCAGTAAAAGAACATCTGGTAGGGTACTTCCATAGAATTTCCAATTCTTCACTGGTCAGGTAGGCCTTGTGAGAAATACGGTCACAAAAATGTCATCAAGATCTATACCAAGTTACAAACATTGAGGCCATGAAAAACACCTTCCATAACGTGCAAGCTGAAATAAGAAGCAGGACTCTGTAACAGATATACAGCAGTAAGGAAACAACAAAACAAGCTTTCTAGATACTTGCCAATAATGTCTTTAACAAGTTTCTGAGTGGCAGCCATACGAGGCTTAGGAATTTCCAGTTTTTCACATTCATGATCCGACTGATGACGGTGCCTATGAGCAACAGAAGAGTGACACTAGTTCATGTATTTGCATACGACTTACACAGATACACAGAATTTGAATGGTCTCAGTGATCACCTCAGGCAAAAATTCTTCTCACAATAAGGACATTTAACTGGCACAAGCTCTCTTTCAGCACAGTCCTTGAATGAGCATGGGTAAGAGGTAGGCTTATCTGACTTCAGGCTCTCATTGATTACAGTCACCTGGAAATGTACAAAGAGGGAAATGGCATTATGTCTTTCACATTTAAAGAAAATCAACATCTATTTTGGAAGGCAACATTCATACCATTTTTGCTTAAACTTGTCAGAACAACCTACATACTCTCACATAACAGATTATATAGTAAGTGTGTAAGAAATAATTACTCTGCTGACTGTTCTACATTTTCATAACTTTCTTCCTGTGGTATATTTATCTTCTAAGTCAAGTTAAAATTACTATTCAGTTACTTTTCATAATTTTAGTCTTCTATTCTGTATCACTCCTAAACAAAGATGCCCACATAATAATATGCTTAGGTGATCATTTCATCAACCCTCAAATGGCAAGTCATAACTACTTTCTATGCTGATTTTAGCAAGTTAAAATATATATATATTTGAGAAAACTTAGAAGTACGTTTATCCATGATATAGAAGGTTAAAGATGGTTTTTACAACGATACATTCTCTATTCTGCATTTATTCTTATATTATATTGAGGAAGAAGAGATTTTACAAGATTAAAAAAAAAAATCCAAGTCCGGCTAGTTTGAGTTTTAAGTAACTAGGTTTCTAGAGTTGAATGTATTTAGTGAAATAATTTCTTAAAAATCTACAACTAAAGGGCATTCCTCTATATAGATGGTAGTTATATCCTGTTGGAATTGACTATTTTTCCAGATTTGGTCTAATGGTAAAATTGTTTTCATTTCATTATTTAAGGAGATCTAATTGACATTCTATGAGAGACATTCATAGAACTCAAATGATATAAGAAAAAGGAAAGCACAGAGAAGATTTACAAGCTGTAGAACAAACATTAATATGTTTACTATATGACTATTTCTCTCCAATTAATCCTGCATAATACCAAAATGTTAATTCTTATTTTCCTCACATAAATCACCTAAACCTTAAAGGACCAGATTTAGACTGAAGCTCATTTAACTTTAATTTTCTACAGTTGAGAAAACAGATATAAAAATCCTTAGTAAAGTGCTTGGTAAATGCTGGGCAGGAATATCAACCGAAAAATGTGAGGCACATGCTTTCTGCCAAATCGAGTGGATTCAGTTTAACTTCCTGCTGTTCTCTGACCAAAGGCGATGAAGCAACTTATAAATTTGATAAAATTACATTTGACATGGTGGGCCCAGCCTTCTCTTCTTCCCTCTTGGAACTGAGCTGCCCTCAAGGAGGAAGCCTAACCTGGGGAAGCACGGCTGTGAATAGTGGGAAAATCCGCGTATTTCTGGATTTCCTTTGCAGCCTACACTACACTAAGCTTCATCACTCAGTTATCCTTTTTGAGTAGTAACAATGATATTTTTGCTTCTAACAGCTCTTATTAATCTCTCAATTTGATCGGAATTGGGGTGAGGATTTTATTGGACTACAGGTTTGTTCCTGGTGATCTAAGGCCGACCGAGTCAGAAGAATTTGTAACCACCAAATCCTAACACTAGGAAGTAGGGAAAATGAACAAAACGGTGAAGGAAAACTTGAAGGAATATATGATGAGGATGTTAACTCCACTGTATATTTATAAATATAGAGCCTAAAGCTGTAAGTGGGCTACCTAAACATAACTGCAATGTACAGGATTTATAGCAATTTATAAATACCAGGAAGACCAATTTTTCTTTAAAACAAACTGAGAAAAATAACAGAAAATGAACTAAGAGCCTCTTTACATAATCAGTTTAGTATGCCAAATTTTAATCTGTGGTACCTTGACTAGTTTTAAATTCAATCAAATTCTGAATGAAAGTACAAAAATACAAACATTTTATTAGGACAATAACATACCTCAGGACAGCTGTGTGACTCCCTGGTTCTGTGTTCAAGGCTTAATTAAAAAAAAAAGTTTAAATGCAATCAAATAATGTACTTAAAGATAACTGCAGTAATTAGAGATATTTTAATGGTTAGTATCCTTAAGATTACTCACACTACATTAACTCTGCATATAAGAATAAACTGAAATGCCAGATAAATTAAAGATAGAACATCTATAGTCTCAAAAGTTTCAAAACCCAACTGTTCAACTTCAGTATGAATAAAAACAATTCACCACTCTAAACTACCTCTGACAGTCGGTTAAGCGTCTGCCTTGGGCTCAGGTCATGGTCTCAGGGGTCCTGAGATCCAGTCCCACATGGGGCTCCCTGCTCAGCAGGGAGTCTGCTTCTCCCTCTCCTCCTCTCCTCCTGCCCCTCCCCTTGCTCATGCTTTCTCTCAAAATCTTAAAAAAAAAAAAAAGCCTAAAACACAAAAGTTTAATTACAAAGAAAAGACATTTTCCAAAATCTTTGCTTAGTTCCCAGGTTTTACTTCGCATGTGATGTGTGTGCAAAGGACATGTGATATCCAATTTAAGAAATGTATAGGTTGGGCTCTTCATTTTAATTAATAAAGTACCTGGATTGTTTTCTGCCCTTTTTTTTTTTTTTTTTTTTAAGATTTTATTTGTCAGAGAGAGAGAGAGAGAGAGAAAACATATGCACAAGCCGGGGCGGCGGCGGGGGGAGAGGGAGGGGAGTGGCAGGCAAAGGGAGAAGCAGGCTCCCCGCCGAGCAAGAAGCCGGATGCCAGACTGGATCCAGGACCCTGGGATCATGACCTGAGCCAAAGGCAGATGTTCAACTGACGGAGCCACCCAGGCGTCTCTTCTATCATATTCTTTATACTGTGGATATGTTCTCTCCTTGTGATTTCAAGACACAAATGTTAAGTTTTACGTAAAAATCACACACAAATTCATTTCTGAAAGTTTAAAGTTTACCCACATAGATACATAAGTAATTAGAGCCTAGGACTATATTTTCTAAGTAATTACTATAATATAAAATATTAATGGCTAAAGTAAAAACTATTTTAAATCATTCTGCTTTTCAGAAATAAATTTCTTATTAAAAACACTAAAATTACTTCCAAATCCTGTATAAAAATTTAACTTACCAAAATACTCCTGAACAACCATCACATACAAATGGAAGAAAATCTAAAATTGAGGGGAAAAGGTTATATGCACTGGTCAGTATCTGATTTTGATTTAGTTTTCTTAAAAAGATTCTTAAAGTACTGAACTACATCTATAGGAGAACTCTTCTTTTTGACCAATATCCTAGTGTAGGAATTCGTGGTTAAACAAAAGCTATCACAACCTCAAGCACTCTGGGAATGACTGGATTATCAGGAGAAATGTTCCTTGTAGTAGTGTGCTAAATCAGGAAAAAAAAGTACTGGAATTTTTTGGATGCCCTGATTTATTATGTGTTGTTTCTGAGTACTGTATGCTGCAAAAATCTTGTATTTGAAGTGAAAATCCTGGGTTTCAATTCTGATTCCACAGTTACTAATCTAGCAACGCTAAGCAAACTGTTTAATAGTAAAGTTTTGTGGGGGATAAGAGGAAGATGTCAGCATAGGAGGATCCTGAGCTCGTCTCCTCCCACAGACACACCAAGATAACAGCTATATCTGAAAAACACCTGAAAACATGAAACAGACCTTCCACGCTTAATCCTACAGAGGGAGAACACACTGGAAGGGTAGGAGGGGTGGAGACACAGTTGGGAACCAAGCCTGTGGTAAGACTAACCATAAACAGGAGGAACACAAGCACAGAAAAGCTAGAGAGGATCAGAGCCCAAACCAGGCACCCCAGCTACTGGGAACCTGCACTGGGAAGAGGAGTCCTCATAATATCGGGCTGTGAAAACCAGTGAGGCTAAACTTCAAACTTTTAAAATCAGTGGGGCTCACCTCCTGGTATTTTAAAAATCTCTGAGAGCTGGAGGCAATAGTAAACTGAGTCCCCACCCTTAAAAAGCTAGAATAAATAACTGCTGGCAACTAGCACAGAAACAGCAGTTTGAAAAACACCTGGGATATTCATGAAGGCAATTTATTTACTAATCTCAGAATGTGCGCTAGAGGGACAGGATCTTCAGACTTCTCCAAGAACAGAAGTGCTAAAGGGCACCATTTTTCTTTTCCTCTCCCAGGTTAGATAGCTGGACACTTGGAGAAACCAGCACTAAACACTTGCCAACTACCTTGCTAGCATGGTGTGTCTGCCCATGCATTCACCTGCATTCCCACCCCATCCAATCTGCTCACCTCAGCAGACTCCCTCCAAAGTGGCTCCACTCCTGCCATACCTGCAAGCAGTCCCAGCAGGGACCAGTGCCACTCCAAAGTGACTCCTGCCCTGGGGAGAGGGGGATAACCCCACACACCAGCACACCCAAAGTTCCAGCAACTTTTAGCAGGCCACACAGGGAGAAAGCCCTGCCATTCAGAGGCTGACTGCACACACCTAGTCTGATTGCTGGCTCACCCACTTACACCCCACCAAGGCCTCTCAACAGTGCAGGAGCCAAACTGCCCAGTGTGCCCATAGCAAGCAAAGTAGGTCACTGCAGCCAACGGGGCTGAAGGCAAATGGGGCTCAGCGACAACAGTAGTGTGCATGCAGCCCACAGAGAAGACACCCCTGGAGCACCTGGCTCTGGTGACCAAGGGGCATTGTACTACAAGGCACCACAGGACCTCTTCAACACAAGAACACTAACTTTCAAGACCAAGATACATAACTGATCTCCCAAATTCATGGAAGCAGAGTTACACAATATGAGACAGAGGAATATGTCCCAAATTAAAGAAGAGGACAAAAATCATAGCAAAAGAGTTAAAAGAAACTGCGATAAGCAATATGCTCAATAAAGAAAACAAAAGTCACAAAGATACTCACTGCACCTGAGAAAAGAGTGGATGAATTCAGTGAGAACTTCAACGTCGATAGAGAAAATGTAAAACAGAACCAGTCAGAGATGAAGAATTCAATATATGAAATAACACACTAGAGAGAACAGATAAGGGGAGGCAGAGGAACAGACCAACACTCTAGAAGACAGGATAATGAAAAGCAACCAAGCTGAAGAGTAAAAAGAAAAATAGGATAAGGGAACTCAGCATCATCAAGTGTACTAACATTCATATTACAGGGATCCCAGAAGAAGGGAGAAGGGGGCAGAAAACTTATCTCAGGAAGGAAACAGACATCCATATCCAAGAAGCAAAGAGAACCAAGGAAGTCCATACCAAGACACATAATAATTAACATGACAAAAAATAATAGAGAGATAATTTTAGGGGCACCTGGGTGGCTCAGTTAAGCATCTGACTCTTGATTTCTGCTCAGATGATCTCAGGGTTGTGAGATCGAGCTCGTATCAGGCTCTGTGCTGGGCACGGAGGCTGCTTAATATTCTCTCTCTTCTTCTCCCTTTCCCCCTTCCACCCGTCCCCTCTCAAAAGGGTAATTTTAAAAGCAGAAAAAACAAAAAAACAAAAAAAAACACGGGTGTATACAAGGAAAACCCCACAAGGCTATTAGCTGACTTTTCAGTAGAAACTTTATAGGCCACAAGATAGTGGCATGATGGGGCGCCTGGGTGGCTCAGTCATTAAGTGTCTGCCTTCAGCTCAGGTCATGATCCCAGGGTCCTGGGATCAAGCCCCACATCGAGTTCTCTGCTTGGCGGGAAGCCTGCTTCTCCCTCTCCCACTCCCCCTGCTTGTGTTCCCTTTCTCGCTGTCTTTCTCTGTCAAATAAATAAAATCTTAAAAAAAAAAAAGATAGTGGCATGATATATTCGAAGTATTGAAAAGAAAAAACCTGCAACCAAAAATACTCTACCCAGCAAGGTTATCAGAGTAGAAGGAGGGATCAAGTCTCCCAAATAAATAAAACTTAAAGGAGTTCATCACCACTACCTGAGCTTTACACAAAACACTGACGAGAATTGTGAGTAGAAAGAAAAGGCCCTAACTAGAAGAAACTTAGGAAAATATTTCACAGGTAAGAGTAAACATATAATAAAGTAGTAGATAAATCACTTACAAAACCAGCATGGAGGTTAAAAAGCAGTAAAATGAACTATATCTACAAAAATGTCAAGAGATACACAAAATGATGTAAGATAGGAAATATACATAAAATGTGGGTGGGGGAGTAAAAATATAATGCTTTTAGAATGTGTTCAAGCGTAAGCAACCAAATCAACTTAATATAAACTGTCATATGTATGTTATATATGAACCTCATAATAACCACGAATCAAAAACCTATTAAGAGATACACAAATACATAATAAAGAGAAAGGAATCGAAGCCTAACAGTAAAGAAAGTCATCAAACCACAAGAGGGCAAGAGAAGAGGAAAACAGGAGAACTACAAAAACAACCATAAAATGAGTAACAAAATGGCAATAAGTACATACTTATCAGTAATTACTTTAAATGTAAATGGACTACATGCTCCAATCAAAAGATATAGGGCGACCAAATGGATTAAAAACAAGACCCACCTATATGCTGCCTACAAGGGACTCTCTTCAGACCTAAGGGACACACATACAAACTGAGAGTGAAGGCTGGAAAAACATACCATGCAAATGGAAGCCAAAATACTTAGAGCAAACAAAATAGACTTCAAAACAAACACTGTAACAAGAGACAAAGAATGGCACTATATAATGATAAAAGGAACAATCCATCAAGAGGATATAACATCTATATACCCAACATAGGAGCACTCAAATACATAAAGCAGTTACTAACAAAGGGGGAAATTGACAGCAATACAATACCAGTGGGGCATCTTAACAACTCACTTGTATCAATGGGTAGAGCATCCAAACAGAAAGTCAATATGGAAACAGTGACTTTGAACAAAGCATTAGACCAGAGGGACCTAATACATACAGAGAATAGTCTATCCAAAAACAGCAGGATACATTCTTTAAGTGCACATGCACCTATATATCTCTAAGATAGATAACCTCTTAGGCCACAAGACTAGTCTCAATAAATTTAGGAAGACTGAAATCATTATCAAGAATCTTTTTCAACCACAAAGGTATGAAACTAGAAATCAATTATAAGAAAAAGTCTGGAAAGAACAAATACCTGGAGGCTAAATAACATGCTACCAAATAATGAATAGGTAACCAAGAAATCAAGAAGGAAATAAAAAAAATACATGGAGACAAATGAAAATGAAAACACAGTGGTCTAAAATCTTATATGGTTAAGTAACCTACAACAAAGGAGGCAAGAATATACAATGGAAAAAGACAGTCTCTTCAACAAATGGTGTTGGGGAAAACTAGACAACTACCTGTAAAATAATGAAACCAAAAAAATTTCTTATGCCAGACACAAAAATAAACTGAAAATGTATTAAGACCTACATGTGAGACCTAAAACCATAAAACTCCTAGGAGAAAATATTGGCAGTAATTTCTTTGACTTCCATCAGCATTAGCAACGTTTTCTAGGTAGGTCTCCTAAGGCAAGGGTAACAAAAAATAAACTTGGAATTATAACAAAAAGTTTTTGTGAATTGAAGGAAACCATTAGCAAAACAAAAAGGCAACCTACCGAATGGGAGAAGATATTTGCAAATGATACATCTGATAAGGAGTTAACATCCAAGATATATAAAGAGCTTATACAACTCAAAAAAAAAAAAAAATAACCTGATTTTAAAAAAATGGGCAGAGGCCCTGAACAGACCTTTCTCCAAAGACACAGAAATGGCCAATAGACACATGAAAAGATGCTTAAGTCACTAAGCCTCAGGAAAACACAAATGAGATATCACCTTATATCCGTTACAAAGGCTCTTTAAAAAATTTGAATACTACATGATCCAATCATTCCACTACTGGCTATGGACCTAAAAAAAAAAAATAAAAACACTAATTCGAATAGATATATGCACCCCTATGTTTACTGCAGCATTATTTTCGATAGCCAAGATATGGAAGCAGCCCAAATGTCCAATGACAGATGAATGGATAAAGAAGATGTGGTCAAAATACCATCCACTTTTTTCAAAGAAATGGAACAAATAATCCTAAAATTTGTATGGAACCAGAAGAGACCCCGAATAGCCAGAGGAATATGGAAAAAGAAAAGCAAAGCTGGCGGCATCAAAATTCCGGACTTCCAGCTCTATTACAAAGCTGTCATCATCAAGACAGTATGGTACTGGCACAGAAACAGAAACATAGATCAATGGAACAGAATAGAGAGCCCAGAAATGGACCCTCAACTCTATGGTCAACT